GGAAGAATTAGGGCAGGGCTCTGACAACTGGGTCAGGGAGTTTGGACCAAATGTAAACTATTGTAATAATTGCAGATTACTGCACATAGAAAGAGCATTTCTGAAAATAGCATTTGAGGATCATATTTTTGTGTACTGTTATAAGCTGGATTTGTGGTAGGATCTCTCAGGATACCTAATCGTGGCTTTACTTTCTCTTCTATAAGCTTGCTTGTTCATTTTTCTTCTGCCTGCTTATGTTGGTGTAATGATATGTGATTATTTAATTCCCAGATGTTTTGTTCTTTGGGTTGCTTCTCTGGGATCTTCACACTTGGTCTGTAGCCCACTGTTCATCTTTGGTAAAATTGGGAGGAGCACAAGGACCACCCTGCACAACACAGTTGAGGGAAACAGAAATTATAGAAGCATTACCCATCTCCCACCCTGCCATTCAGATGGTTCTCCTCTGGAATGCCTGCTCAGGTTCCATTGATGGACTTCAGAAGAGTGTGGGACATTATTTTGAGGTGACCAAACTCAGAAGGCTCGTGATTCAACAAATGTTGAATCACTCTTGTGTCTGTTGGAAAGGAGGTGGGTAGGGATGATTTCACAAGGATATAAACATGGTACAAGCATCCTTAGTGCCCAGTAAGGAGCCTCCAGAAAAAGCTGAAGGAGCTGAAGGAGAGAGAGGAATTGGGAAAAGGGAAATGGGTTCAGAAGGAACTGGTAGGAGGGGTGCCCCATCTTCCCTTGTTCTCCACCCTCTTTCTAGCAGTCATTCCTTCCCTGTATTCTCCATGTCCTGACAATTACAGGGTATAGTTACCTTCAATTTAACTCTCACAACATTATCTCATGCAGTTCCTTGTTGAATATGAAGTGCACAGAGTGGAGTCAACTCCTCCCTCAGTCATGAACTATTAGCATCATTGCTTTCTGATAGGTCCCTTTGCAATGCATTCTATTTTACCCTTTCATCCTGATCTCTATTCTCATTTCCCCTCCTCACTGGAGGCACTTGCTTTAATGTATTTACCAAATACTCTCCCAATCCATGCTCTGTATATGTATTTAGAGACCTTCATTCACTCTACAAATACACAGTTGTAATATGGAGAATACAGCCAAGAGCCAAACCATAAAAATGTCCTGCTTTCGTGAAACTTACATCATTTGGTGTGAGGAAATAATAAACCATTATGTAAAGTATATAGTATCTTGAATAGTGACAAGTGCTATGAAGACAGTGAGAGCATGGGGATAAGATATGTTGTGAGGGGTTAGTGGCAGATTGCAGTTTTATATGTGGTGATTAAGGAAGGCTGTGCTACATGTGCTATTTTGCAGTGAAGTGAGCAACCATGTGGCTATCTGGGTTAGAAATGGTATGGTTATAGGGACAGCAAATACAAAGGCCCTGAGGTAAGGTCTTGCCTGGTATGTTAGGAGGCCAGAATGATTAGGAAGTTAGAGAAAAATAAGTGGGAAGAGAGAGAAATGGAGACTGAGTAGCAAGTGGGTCAGTGACAAATACTGAAGGACTTTGTAGGCCATTGTAAATGCATATTTTGGCTTCTACACTGAATGAAAAGAGAAACTAGTGGAAGGTTTTAGCAGAGGAATGACGTGATATTTTTATCAGATATGTATGTATCCTTGACAAATACTCAGCCCTTTTTGGCTGTTTTACAAATCAATATAAATTTAATTGTGCTGTGTACTTCATCATGCTTCTACTTTTACTACTTAACATTGTTTCTGAAATCTACCCATGTTGTTACCTTTAATCTACTTTTAAATTTCTGACTGCTGTGTAATATTTCATTTTGTACATATGGCACATTTTACCTATATATTCCTCTCGTAACAGAGGCTGGCATAGCTCCAAATTCAGAAACAGTCCTATGATGAATTCGCTCATATGAGCCTCCTTCTAGACTCAGGAGAAAGTTTCTCTGGGGTGTATATCTCAGAGAGAGATTGTGGGTTGGGAGTGTGTGTGCATTCTTAATTCCACTAAGATTGTGCTTCAGGATGGTGACTCCAGTTACACTCCCACCAGCAGTGGGTGATATTTTGTATCTTCTCATCAAATTCTTATGTTGATCCTGTAGGGTAAGTGAAGTAGGTTTCTGTGGTTGAGGAAACCTGAGGCTTAGAGAGATCAAGCAAATAAGACTATTTTATATGGTGAAGTGGAAGTGCCAAGGCTCAAATCCAAAATTGATGACATAATGTTCATTGCTCTTAGCACTATAGTACCCAGCATTGCCCCTTCTAGGAATAAGATGAGACTTTCATAGGGAAAAATATTTATGATGATGATGATGTTTTGGAGGCTTGCTTTTTGTTTTTTTAATGCCTGGACTAACCCAGTAAGCCTAGGACCTCCAAGTGTTTAGCAACATGTAGGAGGGTGTATAATTAGAGTACTTAGCACTTCAAGACAAAATATGTGGAATAAAGCTGTTTTCATTGTCTCATGAGGGCGAGCTAACAGACTCGAATTTTAGTGGATGATTTTGGGCCTAGAAATTTATAAACACTAATTGATTTTCAAAGTTTGGGAATTTGGATCAGATTCCAATATTAAACATTAGGTAGATTACATTAATTACATATTGTTTGCTAGGCACTGAGCTAACTACTTTATACACATCATTTCTCTTATGTTTCACAATTACCCTCTGAGGTAATTTTACTCTCATTTGACTGTTATTGAAACTAAAGCACCAAGAGGGCAACTAATTTGTCCAAAGTACCTGGTATAAGGTTGACTTGTGATTTGAACCTGAATTGGGTACAAGTGGAGCCTCACTCCTAACTGCTAAACTGTGCTGCTTTCCATGAAGGAAGCTTTCATAATCTCTTCTCTTTGAAATTGGGGATAGTTTATTATCATTTGGGGAGATTTAGAGCAGCCATGGGAAGGACATGGCTAGTGGATAAGACTCTCTAGAGCAACTGGATATAAGGTATGAAACTGTTCCCCAGTGTCTTCATTATGCCTTTCTCTGTCCCCGAAGTGAGAACCTCTGCCTTAGGACATCCTACCTACATTATGGTGCCTGAGTATGATGCCTTCAAAAAATTTGACAATTCTTTGTCACCTTGTATGGCTTTTATACCTGCTGTGAATGATGTGCAGTCAAGGTTGCATCAGTTTGTTTTTCCTTCACACTGTCATTTTGTTGCCTTCTACAAGGAAGGTAATATCATTTGTATCTTTTCCTAAATCAGGATTATAAATATTGTTTGGCTACAAAGCATGTATCTGAAAGTCAATTAGATAGAAATTCTGGATTATGTTCTCTTTCAGGTTTCCATTCTCAGTTTGTGTATTTGTTGAACAGGTTTTTATTGAGCACCTAACTCACATTTAAAAGAGGACACAGACAGCCGAGCTGGAATTCTGATCCATTAGGATAAAAGGCACATGGGGTAAGCTGGGTGCTAAGTGAGCACACGGGAGGGACAGCATAAGGGTCAGGGGAGGTTCCTGGGAAAGCAACTTCTGAGCTGGGAACTGAAAGAAACATGGAGATTAGCTAAGTGAAGGGATAAGAGGGCGTTAGAGGGGCGCCTGGGTGGCTTAGTCGGTTAAGCGTCCCACTTTCGCTCAGGTCATGATCTCGCGGTTCGTGGGTTCGAGCCCCGCGTCGGGCTTTGTGCTGACTGCCAGCTCAGAGCCTGGAGCCTGTTTCAGTCTGTGACTCCCTCTTTCTCTGACCCTCCCCTGCTCACGCTGTCTCTCTCTCTCTCCTAGAAATAAATAAAAACATTAAAAAAAAATACAAGCTCACAGAGCAGGGCAGGGTCTCCAGGCAGCTGGCAGCTGACATCACAGGTGGCCCAGGGTGTTTATAGAGCACAGCACAGCCAGTGAGGAGATTGTCTGCAGAAGTGAGCTCACCTTCTCTCCTAGAACCCAGAGAGGGAGGAGACAGAACAAATTGTTTTAGTTGTGAGCAACTGGGCTAGGTGACTTCATTCCTTCCTACCCATCACACTCCCATAACTTTGGACATACAAACTGTAGTAAGTTTTGCCTGGTTGCTTGGGTGAGGTTTACTGAGTGTCAGAATTCACAAAGTGGCCTTTCTGGCTCTTCTCCCTTAGTAGTGGACTCTTGGTGGCTTATGCACCTTTTTTTTCCAGGGTTTCCTCAACAGCCTGGTTTCTCTAGTTCTTGCAGGCAGTTATGAAGACCATGCCTCTTTCTCCCTCTTCCTCTCTTCTCACACTGCCCCCTGTGGACCTAGATGGTGAAGGGAAAGGTTGGACTGCACATTCTTTGCCATCAGTAGAGCTAGATGGATGATGCAGGATGAGGAGAAAGGCAGCCATTTAACCTTGGGCACTGATTTGGGGACAAAGACTTTTAATATACTGGGACCAATATTTGTAATTTAAATTCAGATGACATTTAAGAAATGGTTCTGTAACTGCAACAAGGTACTCTAGTTCATGAATTAGTGTGTCATAACTTATACTCAAGCACCACACAAACATCCCATGTGTGAATTATTGCACAAGAAATTCATGCCCTCTTGTGTCCTACAGCTTAATTAGTGCATGAAGCTTCATGAGTTATACAAACCCGAATGGGATTTTTGTCATTGGTGTGTATAAAGGAGAATGATGGGAGATATTTCACACTCTTCTGGGGGAAAATCAGGGTTGATATTTTTTTTAATGATTTTTTGATTTCCATTTCTGTGATCCTCGGGCTGCAACAGGTGACATGGGACTTCTGAGCTTTGGTTGTTAGCTTTGTTTAGTTGGTTGAACACCAACTCAGTTCACTAAATATTTATTGTTTATTTAGGCATTATGAAGAGCTATCACATACCAGATGAAATACAAAGAGCAGCTTTGAAGCCTGAATAACGGACTTTGGCAGCCCCGACTCCATTTTGTTTAATTCAGCCTCACCGAACCTGATCCCAGACTCTACTACCTGGGCTTGCTACAGCTCTCTGGTTCTAGGATCCTCTTCAATTCCAACTAGAATGCTGCGTCAGGCACTTCGTAGGTTTGGTCAAAAACTGGTACGCAGACCTATGCTGCAGGAACCGGTGGCTGAGAATGACCCACGGAGAAGACTGAGCACTCTGGATTTAGTGACCCTGGGTGTGAACCGCACAGTGGGTATAGGTGTGTATGTCATGGCTGGTGAGGTGGTCAGCAATCAAGCAGGACCATCTTTTGTGATTTGTATTTTGGTAGCCGGCCTATCTTCTGTGTTGACTGGGCTGTGCTATGCAGAGATTAGTGCCCGCATTCCCCATTCTGGCTCAGCATATCTCTACAGCTATGTCACTGTAGGTGAATTCTGGGCCTTCATCACAGGCTGGAACCTCATCCTCTCCCTTGTTACTGGTACAGTCTTTTGCTTCCATGTATTGTTCTTAGCTATTGATCACCTGCGTGTGACACTGCGTGAAATTATCTTACCACATGTTTCCCACTTCCTTAGAGAAGAATATCTAGACTTCACTGTTATGTTCTTCGTATGGTATTTCATAGGTTTCTCGTATGACTACGCTTCCTCATTTGTCAAAGTGGTCACATTGGTGAAACTTTTGGTTCTCAGTTTTATCATCATCTCTGGCTTCATTAAGGGGGACCTGCACAACTGGAAGCTCACAGAAGAGGACTACACAATGGCTGGACTCAATGACACCTCTAGCCTGGGTCCTCTGGGCTCTGGAGGATTTGTGCCTTTTGGCTTCGAGGGGATTGTCCGTGGAACAGCTACATGTTTCTATGCATTTCTCGGTTTTGAGGAAATTGTTACCAGAGTTGAAAAAGCCCGGAACCCTCAATTCTCCATCCCCAGCAGCATTGTGATTTCACTGTTCATCTGCTTTTTGGTGTATTTTGGTGTCTCTTTAGCACTTACACTTATGGTGCCTTACTACAAGCTTAAACCTGGGAGCACCTTGTCTGAGACATTTCTCCATATTGGCTGGGCCCCAGCCTACTATGTTGTATTGTGTGGATTTTTCTGTGGTTTTTTGGGAAGTACCTTTGAATTTATTTTCCTTATATACAAGATGTTACGCAGGATGGCACGGGATGGCCTCCTGTTCCGTGTCCTTGCCAGGATTCTTACCTGGAGAATCCTCAAGAACAGTAGTTATTTGATCTTTGTCATTATTTCAGCAATCATGGGCTTCTTCTTTGGATTAACTGATCTTGTGGACCTCGTGTTTATTGCGTCCATGATATCTTACTCCATGGTTGCTATTTGTGTTCTCATCCTCAGGTATCAGCCTGAGGTGCAGAATGAGGAAAATGAAGCAGAGATGCAGGAGGAGAATGGACCTGCAGCAGAGAAGCTGACTCTACAGAGACTATTTATTCCAGGCAGCCCCACCCCCACTCCACTCTCTGGCCGGGTTGTCTATGTTTGCTCCTCACTGCTTGTTCTGCTGATCATTCTTCTTTGCCTGGTGCTGACACAGTAACCAGTACTGCTTTCTGGAGACCCAGTGTGGATTTCCGTGGTTGTGCTGCTCCTGGTGCTCATCACTGGGCTCACTGGGGTCATCTGGAGACAGCCACAGAGCTCCAGTCCCCTTCCCTTTAAGGTCCCTGCTCTGCCTTTCCTCCCACTACTGAGCATCTTCATGAATGTTTATCTTATGATGCAGGTGACAGCTGGCACCTGGGCCCAATTTGGTGTCTGGATGCTGATTGGGTTTTCTATCTACTTCAGCTCTGGATTCCAGTATAGCCTGGTCTCTAACCGCACTTAAGCTAGAGCCAAATCTGAAAACTTTGAACTCTGTAGTTCCAGTGTCTATTATTATGATGACGTTTTACTTATCTACATTTCAATTTTGCCTGAAGCTGCTCACTGACTTTTAAAAATATTATTAACAGTGGAGCTCATTGGTGACTCAGTTGGTTAAGCATTCAACTTCAGCTCAGTTAATGATCTCACAGTTTGTGAGTTTGAGCCCTGCTTGGGGCTTTAACACCTCAGAGCCAGAAGCCTGCCCTGATTCTGTTTCCCTCTCTCTTTCTCTGCCCCTCCCTATTTGCCCTCTGTCTCTGTCTCTCTCAAAAATAAACATTAAAAATTGATAAAAATATTAATGGGGCACCTGAGTGGCTCAGTCGGTTAAGTGTACGACTTCAGCTCAGGTTATAATCTCACAGTTCATGGGTTTCAGCCCCACATCGGGCTCTGTGTTGACAGCTCAGATCCTGGAGCTTGTCTTCAGATTCTGTGTCTCCCTCTCTCTCTGACCCTCTCCTGCTCACTCTGTCTCTATCTATCTCTCAAAAATAAATAAAACATTAAAAAACTATAAAAGTATTATTTAAGACACTAGAGAAAATCTTTTTGATAATATATCTAGTAGCGGTGGGGTGCCTGCCAGGGTTGGGCAGTAGGACATGTGACTTGAGCTGGGGGTGGTGAGTTAGAGCCCCACATTGAGTGTAGAGATTACCTAAAAAATATGCAGTAGCAGAATTACTAGATTACATAGTAGTTCTATGTTTCATATTTTGAGGAACCTCCATACTGCTTTCCATGGTGGCTAAACCAATTTACATTCCTACCAGTAGTGCATGAGGGTTCTTTTTTCTCCATATCCTGGCCAACATTTGTCTTTCTTGTCCTTTATTTCTGTCCTTTATTCTCTCCACTAGGTCTCTCTACTGTGTGGAGTCTGAATGTGTATCCCACCCACTTTTCACTACAGCCCATTGTTGGTTCTGTAGAAGTCCAATAAATAATACTGCATTTCCCCTCCTATGTTTAGAACCAAGTGATGATGAAGACGTAGAGGCGTATGACTAGACAGTCAGCTGCAGCCTAATTGGTTTGCTAAGTCCACATGATTAAATTAGACAGACATACTCCTCATCACAAGTAGTGCTGAATGCACCCTGTTTCCCACCACAGGAGATAGTCTGCTTTTATTAGATTTTCTCATGTATGAGCAAGTTGGAATGCAAGTGTCCTGTGGACAAGTTGGTTCTCCATAAATAAAGAAAACCAACAAAAAACTGGAAGGGGCTGATCTGGCCATCCGTACAACTGTCTCTTCAACTCACTAATCAAATTCTCAGTGAGAGAGGGGTGGTGAGAGGCCAGGAATACTACTCTGCTTAGTGATGGCTCAAACCTCAGCTCCTGCCACCTCACTTGGAGGGCTTGTGAAAACCCTGCTCCCAGTGTTTGGAACTCAGTAGGTCAGGGTGGGGCCCACAACTTGTACTTTTAACAGTTCCTAGGTAATGCTGATGCTGCTGGTCCAGGGACCACACTTTGAAATCCAAAGCTCCAGCAGAAGCCCCTCCACATGTAAAGATGAAGAGAAGGAAACAAAGTCCCCTTTGAACACTTACCTTCATTTTTGAAGGCATGGAGGAGGGCACTTGTGGGGATGAGCACTGGGTGTTATATGGAAACCAACTTGACAATAGACTATTAAAAGAATAAAATATCATCATTAATCTCCTTTCACAGTGGGGAAATCATAGTGAATGATTTTACAGTGTAAATGTATATCACATCACCACAATGTATACATTAAGAGTCTTACAGTTTTATATGTCAATTATACCTCATTAAAGCTGAAATTTAAAAAAATAATATACCACAGTTATCTGTGTGTCTTTATTTATTTTATTCCCTGATTGCAGATCATACGTTATGAGTGTAATCTTGCTCACTCCTCCTGAGCATCCAGCTGGGGCCAGGAACATAATAGGTATATAATAAATTCATATTAAATTAAATTGAGCCTTACATATTTCATTGGTACCATAAATTCTTCCTTTCAGGCTACCACTGTGCTACTCCGTTAATACTATCTTTTGGGAGACTTCCTTTATTAACAACATTTCTTTCTATCCAGAACTATGTCTCATCTAGAACTATACCCAGGCACTTCTAGCTTTGCCTTTGTGTGGCTCTGCCTGAGCCCTGGTGACTGTCCTGCCTGTTCCCTCAGAGTGGAATCTTGTTCAGGGCAAGGAGTAGGTTCTCTCCTTCCTCTAGACCCAGCAGTAAGAACAGTGTTGTTCAAAGAGCAATAGGGAAAGTACAGCCCTGGACACGAGAATGCCTGACATGACCTCTTGTGCTCCTGCTTCATCTATTTCTATGGGATGTGGGAGGGGCTGGAAATTGTGAAACTGATAGAAGACCCAACCTGCCCTACCTGACTCAGGGAATCACTGAAGAGGACACTGGCCTCATGGTGGCTACAGCAGGCATGTTTCTTGAACAGTCAGTTTTATGGTTGGCCTAGAAGGGCCAGTGTTTTTCAACTGTACTTATGTATGGGGCCTGCTCTGGGAGGGAGGGATGAGAAGCTACTTTCCTACTTGTGGAATTTCTCATATTCCCAACAGGGAACAGGTGCGTCTAGAGAAGGCTGCTAGAGGCAGGGTTACCCTTATACTTATCCATTCCTTTAGATGCTTTTTTGAGAGACTAGTGCAAAAATGTTGTGAGATCATCTAAGATTCTTAGGGGAGAGAGAAGTTTTCCCCCAAATGGGTAGAAACACACACTGAAATAGGAGGAATTGTGAACTGGATAGGGATGAAGGCAGCCTTACTTTGGAAGGGAAGGTATGAGTAGAAACTGAGAAAGATGTATTGGTCAAGAGACACTTCCTGGAGATGGATGCCTGTGGAGACATGGGGGAAATAAAGATGGATAAGCGAATTGGAAAAGAAATGGGATAGCAATTCCAAGTTACCTGGACCTATTTTGTTTTTTTAAATTGTCTTTATTTTGAGAGACAGAGAGCAAGTGGGGGAAGAGCAGAGAGAGAGGGAGACACAGAATCTGAAGTAGGCTCTAGCTCTGAGCTGTCAGCACAGAGCCCAATGCAGAGCTCCAATTCCTGGACTGTGAGATCATGACCTGAGCTGAAGACGGACGCTTAACCAACCGAGCAACCTAGACGCCCCAAGGATCTTTAAGAGATTGGAAAGAATGAGGGGCGCCTGGGTGGCTTAGTCGGTTGGGCGTACGACTTTCGCTTAGGTCATGATCTCGCGGTTCGCGGGTTCGGGCCCCGCGTCGGGCTCTGTGCTGACTGCCAGCTCAGAGCCTGGAGCCTGTTTCAGTCTGTGACTCCCTCTCTCTCTGACCCTCCCCTGCTCACGCTGTCTCTCTCTCTCTCTCTCTCTCTCTCCTAGAAATAAATAAAACATTTAAAAAAAAAAAAGAGATTGGAAAGAATGAGACTTTTGTGAGGGATGTGTTGTTTCACATTTGAAGGGAAATTTTGGGACAGGTTTATACTGTGTATTGTGCTCTGGAGTGAGATTCCTGAATCAGGAAGGGATGACATGTGATTTCCATGGTCATGTAGAGGATACAGAGACCAGAATGGTGTGGACACATAGACTCTTCATGGGAGACAGTTGTGTCCACTGCTATAGTCATCGAGATCCTTACTCTTGGAGGTGTGGTCGGTCAATGGACCAGCAGCGTGGCTGTCACGTGGGAGCTTGTTAGAAATGCAGACTCTCAGGCCCCACTTAGACCTACTGAATCAGAATCTGCATTTGTAATAGGCTCCCAAGTGATCTATATGCTCTTTCCAGTTTGAGAAGCACTGGCTTTAGATGATGGATGATAGGTGTCTGGCCTCAGATGAACCGATGGAAGATCTGAAAACTTTGGAACTGGGAACACAATAGGAGGAGCCTAGGCTTGGAAATTGAATTTTGGTTAGAGAGAGAAGTGTGGTCCCTGGCTGCCCTCTTGTCCCCAGGGCCCTAAGCCACTCACTGTGCTGGATGTGTCACGCTGCCTACTTTGGAAAATGCCTACTGTGCCCACACTTGAGACTGCCTGGTCCTCAGAGGCTCCCCTGGGGCAAGCATTGCGGGTCAGGGGTGCTGCCAGTTCTGTTTCCCCTACTTCATATGATGCCCTGAAAGGGACTGGGGAGGTCATATTAGTCAAGCCAAGCCTCAGGGTTGTATTTTCTCTCAATCAAATGACTCATAACTTGATGATACTAATTGAGCAGGTTATGGAGGTTAGGGGAATGAAATGGAGTTCTTAACTTTCTGTCCTGGAAATGAGGGTATTTTCATCCTTCAAAAACTGTCAAGAACTGAGGATTTTGGGCCAACATGGTTGAGAAATATGGGGATCCATATTTCCCACATCTCTCAAAAAAAGAAGGCTGAAGCCAAAGGACTTTGAACCCCAAGAGTCTAGGAAGAAAAGAGAGAGAGTCTACCAGGAAGAAAACAGGAAAACCAGATGGCCCCATAGGCGTGTGATTGCAAACTGTAGGAGATAAAACATGCCGCAGAAACACAGAGGGGCTGGAGCCCCTCTTCTGTGGAGAAACAAAGTGGAGAGAGAGTGGCTAGAGAAGCATAGGACCGGATCTGGACAAGAGAAAAATTCTGACCAGGATGGAGAGGGATCCCATCATCCCATCTCTAACTACAGGGCTTTCTTCGGACTGGGGCCAGCCAGCACCCTGTCCGAACATCTGGGGAAGAGGGGAGTTACCTCCAGGTTCTGTGGTAGGTCAGAGGCACCTTCTGCAGCAGGAGAATCCGGCCCCTTCACCTGAAGTGCTGCAGCACAGCCAAGGGATTACATGCCAGTGGGCAGCAACATTAACATGCACAGGGTTGGAGTTTAAAACCCAGCTAAGTGTGGGACACAGGAGAAGGTAGGGTGAGACAGAGTCTTGTCTGGGCCCGTGGTACAGTGAGGACAGATCCAAAGGAGTGATTTGAGACAACTGGTCTG